ATTTTGACACGCAATTTTCACAAGGGTTTTGATTAACTTCTTTAGGAATAAAAAGAAAAAAATTTTAATCGTGAAAGTGATTTTTGACAAAGTTATGGTGTTGTCAAGCCCACAGCTCCCGAGAATACCACGCTCTTATTCATTTAATTCATCAGAAAAACGAGTTTTTTCTGGAAATCTTATTTAATCGATAAGAAAATTTTTTTAACGTATTCTATAGTTACTATTTTTTATTTCAATATGCTTTTTATCCATAATTTTTTTTGTTCAAATTATTAAAATCACGTTTTAATCGAAATCACGATTTTTAGGCGAGAGTAGAGCATACCTGAGCGTTTCGCGCTTAAGGTATGCAAAATAATAAATTCCGCCATATCGCACATTATATTGGTCCTTTAGCAAAATCATGGAGCAATTTTTTTTCTAATGGAGTAGAATATTTTTTAATTTCCGTTGGATAAATTTTTGTTTACCTCTAATCTTTTACAAAAATTTTATTATCAGAACTTGCTGTTAATTAACTAAATATCTCATTGTGATAATAAATTTTTTTTTGTAATAATGTCGGTAGTATTATTTTGCCTCTCTATCATAAATATCATAATTATTCAAATATCAAGTTTTTCTCAATTTTTGATTTTGTTTTTTTTGGTAGAGCGAAGATGACAGGCATTCTTATCAGAGTTCAGTTAGTCTTACATGTGAATTATACTTTACCAATTACTATTAATTTTGGAATTGCTACCAAAATATGTTCCAATTTGCAATCGTTAAAAAAATTTTCCGAAGAAAATCCAACACTTGACATTGAAAAAATTTGTTTTACTTACGACTAAATTGCAATCATCGAAAATATATTATTTTATATTGACAGTACAAATTTTTGAAAATATTCTCTATTCTAATTTTTCAAGAACAAAAATATTTTAGACTCTCATCCCAACACACCCTTTTATAAATGGTTTGACACTTCTTATTATCTGTGCCGAATAATTCTTCCATTTAGCCAACTGGACAGCTGTAATTTTAGACATGTGTTCAATAATATAGTTTATAATTTCTTGTTAATTATAAACTTTTTTTTTAGATGTATGCTTTTATTTATAAGTCTTGCAGAAATAATTTTTTTTATAAGAACTGTAAAAATCTATATAATAACAAATACTGTCCTTTGTAATTTTTTTTTTCAAATCAATATTTTTGTCATTTTAAAAAAAGTCATATTTATAAACAATAAGAGACTTTTTAGTTAACTTTCCAATATTTTACATATGTACATCAATAATAGAAAAGTTATGAACTCATCTATAATTCAATCTATTGTTCCTCTAGTCATGGCGAAAAAGAATTTATATAGTTATTAAATATTATTATCAAACATCACTATTCATGCTCAATAATTAAAAATGTATTACAAATGACTAATCATTGGAAATGATCCTAAATGTTGGAATCTAATCTGATTATAAAAATATATGTTGATGTTTAATCATTATGGATTCAATTTTTCATTCAATTACGGTTAGTATAATCATCGATACATTAATATTTTTACTGGTAGTTCCTTTTATACTTAATATTTACTTGAACTGATTTTTCGAAGGCATTATTGAGCATTTCACGTCATCAGCAATTATATTGTTTTTAGTGTCACAAGACAGTCTTGAACTGTTTAACTTCAATTCAGAAATGCCATCTATTATTTTTTTAATCGATCAATAATATAGAAACTGCTCATAACTACTCGAAGACTTCGCTCATAGCGACGCGAAGGAGTATTTTCTACGTAGAAAATAACTGAGCGATTTGACTAGATTCTACTAGGTGCCACTGTGAAAGATTCCAACTTAAGGACGATAACGATAACAGTTTTGTCGAATGCACGAAAATTCAAATAGAAATTTATATTAAAATTTTATGATAATTACTGTCGTAATTATTTTTTCTTCTAAAATATTTGATAATTAATAGTAATAAAGGTATAGTCCAGCTTTACAATAGTTGTATCGTAAATTTTCCCAGAAATTTTTTCCCGTGTATAGTGCATTCATGATTATGATGACTCGTAAAATTCGCAGAAATTTAAACTTTAAAATTGATACTAGCTTTAATTTGAATGATTTATGATTTTTTCTTCAAGATTAGTTAAAAAACCGCTGTTTTAAAATAAAAATATTCAGAATCAACAATGACTCACATCAGTCCTTGTGAGAATTTATTTTGGAAATAAAATTACAGCAAAAAAATAACCAATGATGATAATTCAATTCATCGCTATTCTATTGAGACTTGTTCAAGTGTCATTAGGTACTTTCACGATTTTTCAATGACTGTTATCAAAACAAAATTATTTAAGCAAATGATACTTCAGGGACAGTCCTTGAATTAACGTTATTTAGATGAGCGATACTTTGAGGATAATGCAAATGTTTTATCTACAGTACAAGTTTGTGACTGTTTTTTGCAATCTTGTTCTTAAAAAAAAAAAAAGTATTTTTGACTCACGTCATTACAAACCTCTTAATAAAAGTCATGTGGTTAATGAGAAGGTATTTTTATTCTTGTTTATTTGAAATGTTATCCCCGTAAGTTTTTAATGATTAGATGCATATAGATCTTTATTATGAATATCTTTTTTTATGTATAAGGATATCAACTTATCAACGACGTAATCATTCTTAATCATTTTTCTGGATCGGGAACTAGGTTTTCAAAAAGTATTCCTCCTAGCTGTAAAAATTTTATCAACAAGTGAATACCCTCATTTTCTAGTCAATACCTTTTTTGATCTATAATAAAAATTACAAAATAATTAACACTGAGACACTTCACAAATATTCTTTTTCCAAATCATAGCAATACTTTTATACCAATAATAACTGAAAAATATACCTGAAATTTAATTAAAATCTTATTGTTATTCCAGGAATGAACTAAAATGATCATTGAATATTTTTAGAAAAATTTATTTTCAACTGTCAAAAATAATTTAGAATGTTGTGATTCGATCTGAGTGTAAACATTACTGATGGTCACAGCATGGATTTAAGTTATTTTTTAATCACAATAATTTAAACCATCAAGATATATTTGATTCTTATTTTCTGTCATACTCCATGAATCAACTTAAACTTTTTTTTTCTTTAGATATTATTAATAATGCTTTGGTAATAACAATTATAATGCATTTACTTCAATTAACCATACAGTCTGGAACTATTTTATAGTTTGAAGTTTTACTCCAATCTAGAAATGGCGTCTATTTATTTTTTAGTTGGTCGATAATATAGAAACTGTTAATGCCTACTCAAAAACCGGAGCGTTTTCTACGTTTGCGATTACTGACAGATTTAACTAGTTACTACTAGGTGTCACTGTGGGATAGTTCCTGCTCAATACAGATGTTAATAATAATTATAATCTAATAAATGTGCCTTATAAGTATATATTACTCTACAGAAGGTCTTTTTCATCGAATATTACACGCTTAAGCATCGCATTATTAATTTCTTATCATTTCATGTAATTTAATAATAATATCTCGTTTCAATAAATTATTTTTTCTATTTACGATCCTCTATAACTGTTAGCGTAAATATTTCGTTGTCTGAAATAATTTTTTCAACATTTCTTAACTTTATTAATATTTTATGATATGTGAGGTTACACACGGTAGAAAGTAAGCTTTCTCGATTGACATATCTTTATTTTTTTTATTTTGTTTAATTACTAATCAAATTTTTTATTTAAGGAATTTACTTTTGTCGAAATGTTTTCATTAATTAAATGTAAGGCAAAAAATTTATCTATTGTGACTTCAAGTAGACTATCAAAATTAAAAAATTCACAGTCCTACTTTGAGTATGAATCTCATTCCGGTGCAAAGAGTACTGTGAAATTAATAAAAAAATCAGGTACGAAAAATTTGTATTTACAGATATTTTACAGATATAATATGCAAATAAGTATAATGCTCCTTAACCTTTAATTGAATTACATCTGACTTTATATTTTTTTTCATATATTACTATCATGTATCGTAAGCTCTATAGTTAAATCGAAATTTCATAAATTATTAGTAAATTTAGTATCTTATTACTTTTATTTTAACTAAGTTGTAACTATTTTTTTTAAATGCTCTTTTTACTAATATTAAATATCTTTTAGATTCGAAATCATTTCTCGAAAAATGGAGAATCAAAGTTCGTTCAGAAGGTGGCCTTACATCATCTGATGAATCATCTGATGATTCAAAGATTTTACCTGAAAAAAAACAAGATTACTATGTTTCGACTCCTGTTAATCTAAAAAATCAGCCAACTTTAGTAGTTCGATTGTCTGACATCAGGAAATCGTACGATTCAACAAGAACAGATTCCACACAATCGGAAAGTCCTGCGCCCAGCATTCCTTCAAAGCTTCTAGAAATGTTTGATAGTCGTTCTACTGAGTCTTCATTTACATCAAATCTACAAAAATCTAACTTTCTTAATTTGGAAACAAATAATTCTATCAATAACTCTCCAATCCAACTTTCTAATAATAACCTCCCAGAAAATGAAAAGTCTACCTACAGTGCTGATGTGAGCTCTAATGAAGCTTCAAACAATAGCGTCAAACGTCAAATAAATTAAAAAAAAAATAAATTTAATAAAAAAAATTTTGTAATTGATCATCGAAAAAATAGAAAACAAAAATACAGTTCTAAGAAGTTTAATGTCAAGCGTCCTGAGAATAAAAAACTAAAAAAAAATAAAATAAGAAACAATCCAGTTATTAATCAGCAAAAAAATAAAGCAACTAATCCTAAAAAAATTGTTGATTTAGAAAACGTAGAAGAAAGTCAACTAGAAACTACTCAAAGCGAAAACTCGAAAGTATCCAATAACACTCTCCCCGTCCAGACACACACCAGGGCGGGTTGATCTCGATCATCTTCTTGGACAGGTCTCTAAGAGAAAAGTCGGATGTACCCAAAATTATTATTTATTGAACCCAAACTACAGATCTTCATCATAATTAATTTGCAAGACATCGTCGTCATCAGTCTTGTCCCGGTCATCATAAGGATCCAGCTCCATACCAGAGTCTTCCGAAATCGGATCACCAGCGCAGACAAACTCGGCATTACCCCAATCCATGCCACGTACCCCATCCTTCCTCTTCTTCTTCTTCTTGCTCCTTTTTACAGGAAGAGCATTCCCCAACCGTGGAGGCTCAGAGCACTGAATCCGGGGAATTCCTCGCCCTCCCTGAGATGTACTGGCGCTAACAGCTGCTGCTAAACTCGCTCGATAATCAGCAAACGCTGGAAGCATAGGTCCTGGACCCAACAGATAACTAGCATCACCACCAGAAAGCGAGCCAGATGGAAAAGCAGGAACAGGAGGCGGACCCAATCTGAGCGCAACAGGTCTAGCCTCTGACGTCTTAGACTTAAGTGCACTAGCACCAGCTGTTGAAGCTGCCCAACTTCCTGAAGTAACTGTAGAAGTAGACTCCCGTGGTTTCTTGAACACCACCGAGCGGACCTGACGCTCCTTCTGCACCGAGACCACTACTGACGCCAACCTGGTTCGGGGTATAGCCCCTTTAGATGCTTCCTGACTAACCTCCCGGTTAGTATCTTGCGATGACTTCGTGGCAAGCTTCATCTGCTCCGAATCTTCCCCCACTCGACTTAAGTACAGTCTTTTAGGAACAGAGAATTCTGTCGATGCCGTTTCCCATAACGAACTCGCCTTCGCTGGCACAGCTGGAGGAGAACCCATAGGTTGAGAATGTGTAACCTGGGCTGATGCTTCACTAGACTTGGGAAGTGTCTCCGACCCCACTTCCTGGCATCCTGAACTAGCACCGAACATCATAGGCCCCAAATGTGTCGGCTTACCATAAAGGTCCCTTTCTTCTCGGGTAGCTGCCTTAAGCCACAGCTCCCACAATGTAGACTCCTTGGTCTCCGGGTTCTCTAGAGCCTTATTTAGACTGAGGCGACGCCTCGCCATCCTGGACTGATTAGGAGTCAGGCCGTGCCACTTTGACCTCTTGGAGAGACAATTCTGAACGGTCTTGCGACTGTTGTCTCCAACTCGAGCGAATACAAAAGGTCTGGCAAAACCAGCAGAATCAACCTCCATCGAAGAAACCATATCGACAACTCCCACTGGGTTAACCACCGAGGGGTTCTCAGTTGCCACAGTTGAAAGTCCAGGTGTTGGTACTGGACCAAGACGTGTGAGAGCTGACTCTCGAGCTGTTAATTTCTGATCAACTCGATCTTCCGCCTGGAGACTACATTGAACAGCTACTGAAGTAGTATTCGCGGTCTCTCCGCCAACGTTTATTCCTGCCACCACATCCTCATCCGGGCGCGTACCACGGACATAAAACTCTACTCTTCTCCTCTTCATAACTCTGTAAACAAAACTAATTAGTATTGGGTTCAACAATTTAGCATCCTTATTACTATAATTTCCTATTCACTACGCGGCGACTACGCCTAGGAATCTTTAAATCCGGAACATAATGTTGTCCCAAAACTTTTCCCTTATCATTTTTTAATTCTACAACTAACGGGCTTATAATTTTAGACACCATCACGGGACCCAAGTATTTAACTCCAAGACTCGCGCTATAGCCCGCGGCCTTGTTGCTCAACTTCCTATTTGGGTAGTAGACTAGATCTCCGACAGAAACCTCCGGGATTTCATGATTGACCCCGTGGTATTTTTCCTGTCGTTCACTCTCTTTTCTCATATTCAGTTCAATTTTATGTCGAAGCTCCTCAAGACGTTGGATTCTCTTGGGCCACTCAGCATTTGTGAACTCGATGTCAGTTAATTCCAACTCTGTCATGGCACCAGCCAATCGAGGCTCTTGCCCGTGGACCAAGAAATACGGAGACATCTTTAGAGATGAATGATATGCACTATTATAAGCTAATTGGAATTCGCCCAGGTGTTCATCCCAGAAGTTCTGATCTTTTGCAATGTATGCCCGGATCATAGGTTTGAGAGTCCTATTGATACGCTCAACCGGGTTTGCTTGAGGATGAAACACCGCTATAGTGGAAAAACGTACCCCAGTTTCCTGAAGGTAATCTCTTAATAGTGAATTAGCGAATTCAGTGCCGTTGTCGGTCACTAGGAACATAGGATAACCTCTTGAGGAGAATAGCTTCCTCAAACAGGTTAAAATAGTACTTCCTGTGCTTCGACGTATAGGATAGAATTCCGAAAACCGGGTATATAGGTCTTGAACGACAAGGACATAACTGTGACCTCTCCTTGATTTAGGGAAAGGTCCAGTAACATCTGCCGCTATCACCGCCCACGGCTTTATCGGTTGTCTCGTCTGAAGTGGAGCCTTAGTTGAGGATTGCTTATATTTCACTTGCTTGCAGGTTTCACAAGCCTCCACAAAATCCTCAACATCCTTGTACATGCCTGGCCAATAAAACTGAACTTTCAGGCGTTCATACATCCGATCTCTTCCAATGTGACCAGCATCTGGTTCCTCATGATGTCTTTTTAGGACCTCCAGAACTTCGTGGTCTTTTAATACTTTTTTCCATTTACTTTCATCACCCACGATCTCCTTCAGGGGATCGGGTCTGCGAAAATAAAGCTGATCATCTACAATTTTCCAATCTAGGAAGTCTTTCGGACGCCTTCTGACATTATTGAACTTGATATCATACCAGCTTAGCGTTTGGATATGTAGAAATTTTGCTTTATTAAGTCTTTCCTTTACTTCCATCCAGTCCTCCGGAGAATCATCTTCGTATAATCGAGATAAAGCATCTGGTCCTTCGTTTGTAGTTCCACGTTGGTGTTTAATAGAGACTTGGTGTGAGAAAAGCTCGACTGCCCAACGAGCCAAGCGGCCATTAGGATTTTTCAGTGAGTGCAGCCACATTAAAGAAGCGTGGTCTGTTACAACAGTAAACGGAGCACCTTCCAAGTAGCATCTCAGCTTCCTCACCGCCCAAACTACAGCTAGGCACTCCTTCTCTGTAGTTGTATAACGAGTCTCCGCACCACGAAGTTGACGGCTCAAACAGATTATTAGATATTCTTTAGGAGTCCCTGGTTCCTTCTGGACTAAAAATGCGCCAAGGCCTGTGTCACAGGCATCTGTGTATAGTATATAAGGCCAACCAATTCTCGGAATAGCCAACGGTTGAGCTTCCACCAAGGCTCTTTTTAATTCTCGGAAAGATTTTTCTTCCTCATCACCCCACTTCCATTCGTTATTAACGCTTGTTAATTTATTTAAAGGCCCTTGTGCCTTGGAAACATTCTGCAGGTGACGGTGATACCAATTTATTAGTCCCAGGAAACTTCTTAGTTGTTTTCTATTTGTAGGAGTTGGGAAATTTACGATTGGAGCAATCCTCTCGGGGTCCGGGTATAATCCACTTTCGTTCACCACAAATCCCAAGAATTTTACTTCATGTCGACAAAACTTACATTTCTCCGGGTTTATGAGAAGGCCAAATTCGCGAAATACTTCGAAAAGTACTACTAAGATCTGCAAGTGTTCCTCAAATGTTTCACTTATGATGACCCAGTCGTCTAAGTATGCAAAGACTTGCTCTGCCCATTTTAGAGGATGATTTCTTTCTACTAGTAGTTTGCAAAATCTAGTCTTAACGATGTCCATAGCCTTCTGGAATGTACTCGGGGCACCCACGAGTCCATATGGCATTCTAAGCCATTCGAATTGACCTCTTCCCTCCACAGAGAAAGCAGTTAAAGGTATCGAGTTAGTTTCCATAAAGATCTGATGAAATGCTTCTCTTAGATCCATTGTTGTTATAACCAGGGCACCGTGGAGAGCACTTAATATCCGAAGCATATTAGGTAAAGGATGAGCTGGTGGAATAGTTACTTTATTCACCGGTCTGTAGTCCACGCAAAATCTCCATTTGTTATTAGGCTTTGAGACCATAAGAGGCGAACACGACCACACACTGTAACTTGGACGAATAAAATTTTTCTCCAGCAACTCATCGATTTGTTTATTTAACTCCTGATTAACAACTGGACTTCGACGATATGGCTTAACTCGTATCGGCTGAGCTCCAGGCTTCACCACTATTTCATGTTCAATTATTCCAGTAGATCCGATGTTCGACACACCATCAAATTTCTTTATTTCAACTTCTAAAAATTTTTGAAGTTCTATATCTTGTGTCGAGGACATAACACACACATGTGTTTTGTCTTTGTTGCAAACTATCGGCTGGAACGGAAAAATATCTGGAGCATCAGCGAATTTCCATGTACATGCTCTACAATCTATTTGTACGCTAAATCTTCTCATGAAGTCCAGACCTAAGACCATTGAATAACTCAAGTCCGGTAAGATGCTAAAATACTGTTCACCAGCTACAGACCCAATTTGTATAATGAAAGGGGCTCCACCCTTACTTTTGCAAGTCGAGTGATTAGCAAGAAGCACGCCCTTCTTGGTCTGGTCATCTTGTAAGTCACCGCTAGCCAAGTTTCTAATGTCTTCATATATCTTCGCATTGATATAAGACAATTCACTACCGGTGTCCAATATTGCTAGTAACTTCACTCCAAAAACCCACACCGAGACCGGAATACGTGACGTTTCGGTCGGTGGTGACCCAGTGCCGGGTTTAAAGATTCGTCTTGCTGCCAGATGATGTATAACTGACGCCGGAAGCTGTTTGTCTCGCAATATCGTTGGTAGGAACGCTGCTTGAGGCAATATTTTTGATGATGACGCAATTTTAGTTTTCTCGACTACCGGTTCAAGAAGAGGTGTAAACTCTTCTTCCAACTCACTATCAGAATTTTGTTCTATTTCTGAATTAGTGTCTTCATTATTCGCCAATAGGTTAAAATGACAAACGTCATTGAGATCTGGTTCCCATTCTGAAGACAAGGACAGCGGGTCTTCCAGTATTCTGACTAAGTGAGTGATATCATGTGCGTCGAGAGTCTCATTTAAAATCTGTGAACTTGATTTTATCATTTCGCCAGGTACTCTATTTATTCCATTAGAAACAACTGTTAAGTTAATGGGATCAAAAGAATCCTGCCCACAGGGTGAGAATTGCAAAGACGCAATAGCTCTCTCCGGGGATAATTCCGATTCCTTTATAGATCCACTCGTTGTTTTATTTAATTTGTTTCCCGTTTTTATATTTAATTCTGGAGAGCGCGTGGGAAACTTCCGAGCTCCCATTATGCATTTTTTCGTTGTTGATCAGTAGCGTTTTCAGAGACCACCGTCGCCACTGTAGCCTGTGGTTGATGAGTCTTGTCAATAATAAAAGGACAATTATCACGCAAATGACCCGTGCTCCAGCAAACATTACACACCAATCTACGTGGACCCAGGCAGAACTCAAAAGTATGTCCAGGTTCGCCGCAATTAAAGCAAGGCTTTGGTCCGCGCAAATAGCGTGGATTGTATACTAATCCTCCATCTTCTGACTGGATTGTAGGAGCTGACTGGACCAAGTCTTGATGTTGCTGGCCTGAGTATTGTGTTGCATTTTGTGTAATTTGAGCTGCATATTGAGCCGAAACTTGAGTTGCTGGCATCTGTTGTCTCTGATAACTCCTTTGGTTCTGAACAGCTCTGTTTTGCTGGAAAGGTGTCGCTGAACGTCTCACCACTCCATATCTGTTATCGTACTCTGTTGCGTTGGGTAATCTCATAGCATTAAGTTCAGTTGACTCAATTACCTCTTCAACGAATTCCCTTTCTTCTGCCGAAGTTTGTAGCATGCCGAAACGTGGTTTTTCGGCATTCTTTTTAAATGTAGCTGGTTGTGACGAGATGTTGGCGTCTCTGACGCATCTGGAAGCTTCGTGTAGAGTATTTAGAAGGTCCTCATACGTGTTTACTTGACGAGAAAATACCATCAATCTCAGTTCGTCAGTCAGATGGTTTCTTATGCAATTTACCTGTTCCTCAATTGGGGGTGGAACTTGCATCGCTTGATACTTCTGTTGTACATTTAGTACAAACTCAGTTGCGTTCTCTCCAGGTTGCATTCTCATGTGGCTGATGTCCATTATAATTTGGTGATCCGTTACCGGACTGCCAAAAGCTCTGCGGAACTCTTCCTTAAACTGAGTAAACCTTTGCCATCTATGATAGTTCGTGTCTACCCAACGTGCTGCTGTGCCTTTAAATGTGTAGCTTATCACCCTAAATAGTTCTGTCTCTGTCCAGCCTTCGCGACGTGCTCTTGCCTCCAAGGAATTTATGAAATCATTGGCAGAAACGCCTTCTTGAGGAAAGCAGATGTTAGACATTTTTATAATATCTTTAATTTCCTTCCAGCGATTTTGAGGAATTTGAACAGCACTATTTTGATGATTTGAAACAGCAAAATTGTTTTGTGGATAAATTTGTTGAGCATTACTGGGGTTAGCCCCACGGTAATATCCCTGTTCATATACGGGTTGCCCATTGTTACTTGAAATTTCTGGTATTGGATTTGAACACGATTGTTGTGTATTAAACGCAGGAAATTGTTGATTAATGCCTGACTGTTGGGCAAAATTTTCCACTTGGATATCATTTGAGAGTCCTCTATGTCGTGAGGCTATATTTTGTCTCATCTGTGTTTGATCCCGAGCTTCCCAATCTAATGATCCCGGTGAATAATTTGTTCCAGTACTATCTGTTCTTGGATTTATGACATATGTACGTTGCTCTCTAAGTTCTTGTTCACGACGACGTTGAGTACGAACCTCTTGTTCGCTTAATTCTTGCTCGCGTTGTAGTTGAGCACGTAATTCTTGTTCACGCTGTTGTTGTTGAGCAAATAGTTCTTGCTCTTGCACTAATTGATCACGTTGTCGACCTAATCGATCGTGTTGTTCCTGCAGAAGTAGTTGGCGTTCTCGAAGTTGTCTACTATCACGGACCATTCTGTCGAGTACAGACAATCTTTCATTGATTACTGGATCGTTTCTCCCTGTCTCCGCCACCATTTGTCTTGTGCGTGCGAGATCTCGACTCATAGACTCGACCAGAACATTTGTACGAGCCACTAACTCGTCTGCGTTGCCCGAAGAACTAGTTGAGTTAGCTGAAGACGATATAAATTCAATAATGTTCGGCAATGTTGAACTTCTTGCCGCTGGTGTGCTTGCATTATTTGTCGATATCGGACCAAACCGCGTGCCCCTCGTACCAGGAATTTCTTCAATTGATCTTCTAACTCTGTTATTATTCAGAGAGTTCGTTTGATTCTGAACTCCCGCAGAACTAAATTGGTTCACTGACCCGGGGGTTGTACGTGTCTGCTCTCCCACAGGTATAATAGACCCGGGGATACGAGTAGACACCCCAACAGGACTATTCTGCAACCTCGTCCCGGGGTTTAGTTCCAACGAAACTCTACCTCGGCCTCTGCCGAACGACACACGTCGAGGTTCTGCTGATTCCTCCTCGTCTAGTCCTTGGGATCTGGTTCTTGGTCCCACTAATCGCTGCATACTGAAACTTGTATCTTTATTTAATTATAATTCTGGTAATACACAAAAATATTTTAATGAGCGTGCAGCATGCTGGTAGATTATATCTTTCTTGATGTTGTGTGTGTATTAGTATAATTTTGTCCTTGTGTACTGTAGAAATTAGTCCGTGTGTTTATGTTTCAGTGATTTGCAAAGTAAGCCCAAGCGAGACTAGCGTGTATGTGTTACGAAAAAGTTTATTTTTTTTTTTTTTTTTTTTTTTTTTTTTTTTTTTTTTTTTTTTTTTTTTT